GCAAGCTCAAGTCGAGCTTAGCCGCCCGGCAAGTGAAACACGGTCTGAGGGTTTTTTAGAAATGTAGGCTCAAAGTACTATGGCAGCAGTAGTTTTGGCAACTGCGGGGTATGATCACAAGATCCGATTCTGGGAAGCCTCATCACGCGTGTGCACTCGCATAGTTCGTCATCCCGACTCTCAAGTAAACTGTCTGGCCATTGCTCACGACAAATTCTATCTTGCCGCCGGTGGCAACCCGCACGCGATGAGCGGTGTCATATGTGAAGTGGAATGCTGGATTGGTATGATGGCAGGTCCGTATTTTTGATGTGGTGAATTCTTCGAACTCGTCACCCATTGCCGAATTCTCGCATGGCGGCAACGTGCGAGCCGTGATGCATGGATTGGGGTCATTGCTCTTGCCCGTAGGTGACTTCCGTTGGATTCCAGCACGACCGGAGTTGGCTTTACTCCGCGTCGGAAGACGGAACCATTAAAATCTGGGACTTGCGGGCACCACCTCGATGTCAGCTGACTTACACAACCGTGGGCGAGGATGGACGACCATGTGCCTGTAATGCAGTTGCGTTGCACCCAAATCAAGGCGAGCTTGCCTCCGCAGATCACGCCGGCCTTGTCCGTATTTGGGACCTTGCTGCAGATAAATGTGCTACAGAGCTCCGTTCAACGGATGGGAGGCTCTCGCCTGTCCGATCTGTTGCGATTGCAAGCGATACTAGCTACCTGGTTGCTGGCACCAACGAGGTGCGATGATATTTGCTGTGCGCTGCAGCATTGGTCTTGTTGTTCTAGGCAAACGTTTATGTTTGGCGTCCAGTTCAATCAAAAACATATGAGCTTGAACATGTGTGCCTCTGAGTGACTGTCAAACACACATGGGGTCAAACACACATGGGGTCAAACACACATGGGGTAACATTGATTATCGCAGGTAATTGAGGCCGCCCACGAGGATGGCTCTGATCATGCTTATATCCTTAAATGTGGCATTTCTCCCGACGCTCAGCTTCTTGTTACAACATCTTCGGACAAGACAGCTAAAATTTGGTCGGTCAACCGCGGTTGGGCCCTTGAAAAGACTCTAGCGCAACACCAACGCTGGGTGTGGGATGCTTGCTTTTCTGCGGACTCCGCCTACCTCGTGACGGCATCTTCAGACCATTCGGCACGCCTATGGGATCTCCAGTCAGGCGCTGCAATCCGCTACTATTCTGGACATTCACTTGCCGTCACTTGTTGCGCTCTCAACGATTCTTCTGTTTGATTGATGCAGCTCATCGAGGTGTGTCTTGAGACTTTGTGTGAGTTCAACCTGTTGAGATGTCCTGCTTTTGGCCGGAACGCCCGGCGGAGTCGGGAATTGGAACGACGAGCGCCTCTCAGTCATCCGACTTATCAAGCGTGTGGAAATTCTGGGAATCGGAACGTCTGGCTCAACCGGCCAGCTAACCGATGCTTGAACGCCGAAATTCGACGCGAGATGAGGGCACGCGCGGCCCAGATTGCGCCAAGGGGGCTACAGCAGCCTTAGGCCCAGTGGTGTCGCCAAGAGGTGCTCGCTTGGCCCAAGCGCGGCCCGGGGTCTGTGCCCGGGGCCTGCCCAGCCCTATTGCGGGTAGCAGTGACGAGCTAGAGTTGTGAAGTTCACTTTTGGACGGCCTGAGTAATCAAAATAATTGCATTTACGGCAGTACAATGTGTTTCCGGTAACGAGCCTCAGGCTGAGTTAGTGAGTTTAGACCACCTATCATCATCCAGCTAAATAAAACTGCTGGTTGTGGTGGTCCTCTCCCAGCTCGCCGCTTCCCCGGGGCCCGGGGTGGCGCGGCTTATATTTTTTGGGTCATATGGTTTCTACTGACATCCAAGGGCTGGGATTGAGTGATAAATTGCCGGGGCATTTGAAGCTGGGGGTCTGTGATATGGCTATGGGTATGATGTCAGGCGGCGCCGTCCCGCCTGCGCCTATCCATGAAGACATACTCCTGACTTTGATGTGTGAATCATTACTACCATTACTCTGCTTCCTTTAGCTCAGGCTAGTGGGAGATACGAAAGGCCAAGTGGACGGAAATCGAAGCTCAATCAAAGCCCGAGCCAAACGCCGCAGGGTATACGCCCGTGACTGCCCGGCTCCTGGCCGTACTGGCGACTCCAGCGGGCTCCCTAGCCGTACTGGCGACTGCAACTTGAAGTAAAAATCCCAAAACAAAAAGGTCGACCTAGAGAGGGATACCCCAAACTAGCCCCAAACTAGGGTAATGAGGAGCGTTGAGATCAACGTTACGGGGGGTGCAGTGCCATCTCCATAGTGTGACGTCGCGATAGTAAGGGGGCAAGGTAATGTAAATTATGGGGGATGATGGTGACTCAAGCTGATGCTCTATTCAGATAGACCCCTCTTTCAAGTGCACTATACTCCAGTCGGTACCTGCTAATAGGCTTAGTACGCGAGGATCGAGGAGGTCCGTCGTGTGTGTAGTCTGATGCTGGGCACTTCCCATCAAGAGATGCTGAGTCTTTACTGAAAAAGTTCTTTTCCCAAGGGTGGTCCAAAGCATAATTTAGAGGTACCGTCCTAGTCTTATTGAATTCATCATAATCAGACGACAAGCGACCAAAGGACCTAAAAGTAGCAAGCACGTTGGACTTGGAAAAGTACTCAGTAGTCGTTCCATTTGAAGTTTGCGGAGCATAGTTGGCATCTGGCTGGGGCATTTGCTCTTGTCTGGAAAGACCGCTCATTCCCATAGCAGAGGCTAGACGGTGGAACAAAGGCTAGGGACGGGTGATGCTCAGGTGTGATGCCCAGGTGTGTTGGTGTGATGCCCAGTGTGACCCTCGGTCCGCGTGTTTTCGGGTGTGATGCTCGGTGTCACAACGGTTTTGGCCTGGGCCGAGCGGCGAAGATTAAAGTGCAACCCGGAGTCAAACAAACGTGCAGGCTTGTTTCTGCCACCCGATCGGACGTTGCTATTACTGCACCGATTTCCGATGCTATGGCCCGGCCCAGAGGCTGCGCCGGACGGCGTGCCGGCTTCCGGTCGCGCTCGTCGCGGCCCTGGCGTGGCGCCCGCGGCGTGCGGTGCGCGCTGGGCAGCCCTCGTCGGGCCGTGGGCGGCGGCGGCGGCGCGGGTCGGGCTGCCACGCGGTAGGCGTCTGGTCGAGGACTGGCGCCACTGCGGCGACGCGCGGTTGTTCCGACACGTTCTCCGGCGTCTATGCCGGCGGGGTTCTCGCGCGCGGGGGCGCGGGGCGGCCCAATGGCGATGACTTCTTTTTTTGAGAGTTTTAACGAATGCTCGCACCTGCTCATCGCGGTCGTCGCGCCGAGGTCCGATTTGAAGAACGATCGCCGCAGCTGCGACGCCTCGCGCGCCGCGTGCGGGGTGGCGTCCCCTGGCGGAAGGACTACCAGGTCGTCGCCACCGTCATCGTGACCGCCGCGCCGCGCGCCTCCCTGCCGCGGCAGTTGGAAATCCACTGGGACGTCGCCTACCGATGATGTAGTAGCCATCTAGTACAGACTACCTCGGGCGAGTGTGATGCCCACTTCTGGTGTGATGCCCAGGTGTGAGTGTGATGCTCGGTGGTGTGATGCTCAGTGTGGTGATGCCCACGCTTCACTAACAAAGGCTGGTCACAATTCGTTAGTCCACTGCAAATGGATCTTGAGGAGCTCCGCGCGTGCACAAACCCTCCGGCAGACGCGCCTGGGAGGGGCGCCCGCAGGGGCCATCGCGCTATAAAACATCGGCCCGGCTAGTCCGCATCGCTCTACTTCCGCCCAGGAGAAGTGTTGCCCATGGCCCGGGGCGTAACGACCAGGGGCTGTGCGCTCAAGTTTGATGTGACCTTCTTGCTGCACTTGTGTCTCTTTGAACTGCGTGCTTGCTTGCTCGAAGATAACACACCGGAATTCGTGCTTGAGAGAGGGAAATTCTGAACTGGGGGTTTTGGCTGGCAGAGGCGGTCAACATGTGCCAGTTGTTTTTCGGAATCAAATGACGTCTTAGGTGGATGTGGCTTGTCCGACAATGGGGGATTATGAGGCGTTGGACCTGGATAAGCGTCGCCGAAGATCTCGTACAGAATAACAGAGGCTGCATGCTTCATATACACGGCAATACCATCTGCACGGCCCTTAGAGCCATCAAGTTCGCCGTTCTCATATATTGCTGGCAGGCCATAGCCGTGACCGTTGCCGTAGAGATTCAAGACCGCATCTGATTCGTCCACTATGTCGGTGCCGTCATATACGACACGACCTCGTCTGTCAACTTGCACTTGACCCTGTGCCATACGAAGGTGAATTTGTGTATCAGCCTTGTCATGTATAGGAACTACATGAGATTCATAGCCAGTAGCCCAGACAACAACATGGGCTTCTTCAAAGCATCTCGTTATAAGGCTCTTGCTACCACCAGGTTTCACCTGACAGAGACGCACGCGTGGCTCACGACCGCGTGAAATTTGGTTGAAGAAGTTCTTAGCATCTCCCCGGAGGCCTGCGAAAGCGTGGACCTGTCCATGGCGATTTGTCTGTTTATAGTCCCTGTAGCCATCCGCATCTGCCTCGCGCTTTGATATGTAGAAAACACGCACAGGTGAGCGGTGTAAAATAGTAATTGATAGCAGCGGTCCCGACGAAGACGACAATGTGGACTGAGCTGCTGTTTCGCTGGGAGATGCAATTGCTGGATGATGCAAGTCACTGCGGGATGTTGTCGTAAGTTCAAGGAGCGGTAGATGACTATGCTGCATGTCAGGAGGGGAAGACGTGTCACCTTCGAAAGCGCCTGTTGACGTACGAACGCAGGACGCCGAGTATGTTCGGCCCGAGTTTAAGCTGTTCGGACAAACGGCTGCATGCGTCTCTCGGGAAAAGCTGAAGTGTGAATCCAAGGACTGCGCATCGATTGCAGGCAGGCGATGGGCAATGGTGAGACTCGCATTTGGCGTGTTGGGCATGCACATGTTTCTGACGGAGCTTGCGTTGGAACCCAAACTGTTAAGGAGCAGATGGCATGAGCTAGTGCAGCACGGTGGCATGGGCGCAGGGCGAGTAGCCTCCACTCGTTTTACCTGTGGGCTGGGAGCGCTATTAATCAAAGTGCTTGAATGGAATTGGGCATTTTCACCATGGAGACATAGCCAGGCGGTTGAGAATGCTGAATGCGCACCACCGACGATACAAATCTTTCCGTGTTTCAGTCCCAGCTTTGAACGCATTTTTTTCAAGCCACTTGGGGAGAGTACTTCATTAGAGCACAGAAGCTTAAGCTGATGATGCCGCTGGTCCAATTTGGGCAGTTTCTGGAAAGCACCTAGCGCGAGCACAACATGCTCAGCATAAATAGCCGCACGTGGGCGGTGCCCACTAGGGCCAGAGCTGTCTTCCACCAGAATGCGCCAGGCGTTACTTGTAGTTTGCTGTAACATCACCACTCGTGCCCCCCAGTGATATGTACTGGTCCCACTTCGAGATAATAAATTGGCAAATATCTGTGCGACTTGAGCCATGAACTTCGCAATCACTGCTAACGGTGCAGGTGCCGGCCCAAGGGCAAGAAGCTGTGCCACTGTAGCATTATAGCGCAATGGCTCAAGCACCGTGCCCGTTGCGCCCTCGGGAGGCGTTGCTCCCCATTTATCCCCTAGTACATGATGCACCAGCTTTGACGCGAAAGTGTTTGATCGGATTGCATAGGCCCCAAGTTGTCCATAGCCGAGCGAATGTGGATTGCCGGCATCCACCTGCAATGGTCATTTTCAGCTAGTGTAAGAGAAAGGAACCCACCAAGCATAAGCCGCGCGATGGAGGGGGGGGGGTACACTATCAAGAACTTGTGGAGTTGGCGTATTGGGATGTGTGACAGGGGCGACAGCATCACCCAAAAGTGTGTCCAGCAAACCAAGGCGTGCAGCACGGATCAGGACCTGTAGACTCATTTTCCCCGTAGAAATGTCATGACAATATACGCACTCCAACACCAGCCGGTCCGCCACCTAGAATTGCGACCTTGAAGATTTGCTGCTTAGTTTCGGCTTCGATCTTCGAGACGGCCGCGGGTGGTCTGACCATGATTCCTCAGGCATGTTTCATTTTACGAATAAGTTTCAACACTCAGTCTAAGATAGGGCAACCGGGGCAGACCACTCGACCGCTGCCCTCGCAAGACACCCCTCTCCAACACAGTAGGGTCGGCCGGATAGAAAGAAGTTCACGGCGAGGTGCTAGACTAGAACATAAGACGATTTCAGATTCTTCTGTCCGAGGCTTCAAAACTATATCCGAAATTGCAGTATCTCCGTTTCCGTCCACTTGGCCTTTCGTATCTCTCACTAGCCTGAAGCTAAAGGAGGCAAGGTAAACTCCTCCCTCGAAGGGGGGCTGAGCTCAATTCCACTAACGGTGCCAGATTGAAGGCCGGCGGGCCGCGCTTGGGTGGCGCAGCCACCCCAGGGACGGAGGAGGGTCGGTGCTTCTACTGCGCTCTCGATTAGGCCTGAGTCAGTTCTGTATCTTACAGGTCCAGGTAATATTGCAACGGGCTTGGTAAATAGCCGCGCGCTGCGGTCCATGGGTGGAAAACGCCGCGAATTGTTGGAGCGAGCCGAGCAGCTGATTAAAACGTACAACCCAAAGCGGACGACTTTGGAGTCACATGCGACGGAATTCCTATCTGGAAATAAAAACGATTCGGATGTTGCGTTTCTGAAGGAAGTGCTGTATGGGGTCATGCGGTGCAAGGCAGCTCTAAAGGTGTTCATGGCTTGCTTCTTCAATGACATGTCGGCGCGCGTCTTACGATCCGACTATACCATGTACATGATTCTCGCATACTTGAGTCTGTTTCGGCTAAAGGAGCTGACTATCCCCGAATTCCGTAAATTTGTTTTGAGTATCGATCCAGACAAAATGGTCAATTTTTTGGAATATGTTTTTGATGCGTCTAAACTGGAGGGCAGCGGTGTCGTTGTGCACTGGACCAAAATCTTTGATCCAGACTATGTACGAGATACAGTCCTCAAGGACCTCGAACGTGCGTTTCCTGACATACAGAAGCTTGTTCATGAGCTGCGAGATAAGTCCATGGGTCTAGCTGCAGCCAAACAAGCGTCGGAAGAACGGCGAGGCAACAGTGGTCTTACGTCTAGTGCTCAAAGGACAGCAACTGTGCCAAGGCCGCCAAATCTCACTGAGCCAACCCCCCGACAAGTGCCAGAACCCCGAACAATTCAACAACTGGTTACTCGGACCTTGATGCCAACCATGAAGACAAAAAATGGACCTTCTCGAGTCGATCACGTCCCGAATTCAGTCAACACAACTCGATGTGTGCCAGTTGCATTGCACAAAACTAGATCGACGTTGGCACGAGTCCAGGAGAGAGTTGAGGAGCAAGTGGCGAAAGAATTGGACTTTTCAAGAATCAAGGGTGGGGGGGGAGTCCAGAAGCAAGAAGTATGCCACCAGAGTCTGTGTAGGACCTGGCTGTGTATAAGCTGGGTGGCTCCATCTATTTTTATCGCCCGTCATTCTGGGTCGATCGACTTTCACTGTAGGCCACCGTGAAACTCAACACGGCGACAATTCTCCGAGAAGATGCATTATTTAGGGCTAAGCAGGAACAAGAAGCTGCGAAAATCAACGCGTATGAAGCTGAACTTCGGGATAGCAGTGACTTCTATCGCTGGCAGACAGATATGCGCGCCAAAGATCAGAAGACTCGATTGGAGCAGATTGCTCGGACACGGGTACTGGCAAAAGCATCGGCCGAGGAGGCAAATTACGCAAAAATGAATAAGCTATTAGATAATCGACAACTCGCAGCCCGTAGTGTTGATGAGGGTCGTGCCATGCAAAAGCAGCGTCAGCTCGAGGCAGATATGACGCTGCTGAAGAAACGCCATCTCGTTGGGGAGGTTAAGGAAGAGCGAGAGACAGCCCCCCGGCACGCAGTGGAGCGCATCCTCAAAAAAAAAAATGAGATTCGTGAAAGCGTGCAACGTGATATGGATATCCGACTAAAGCACCGCGAGGATGAAGAAAATGCTCGGGCTCGGGTGCTTGCAGAGCATGTTAAGCGACTCAAAGCCGAGCATAGTGTCCACCGAGACCACACCAACTTCTTCGACCCGACAGACACGGTTGGCCTTGGCTTGCTTGACGAAATGTCCCTTGTTGAGATGCAGGAGCGCCTGGCAAAAAACCTGAAGCGTGACGAGGAGCACCGCGAGCAGAAGCGCATAGAGTTACTTGAAAATAAGAATGCAAAGCGAGAGCGTCTTGCAGAACGTGTGGAGAATATCAAGAAGGTCAGAGAGGCAGCAGCAGAGAAGAACCAGCAAACGCGACTTTACCAATCAAGGCGAGCATTCGATCTAAGTTCTGCAATCCAGAACGAAGAAGAACGCCTATTGTTACAACTCGTCAGAGGCCTCAAAGACAAGCGCGTGGCTCTCAGTGATTACCGGAGGAAGCTACAAGAAGAGGAAGCACGTACTAAGAAGGACCAGCTCTTTGCAGGCGCTGGTGAACAATTGAAAGAGAAGAAAGCACACGAAGAGCTTCTCAAAGGTGCCGAGAGGATGGCGAAGGACAAACAGCGGCATTCACTTGAGACGATGGCAAAGTACAACACTTCGAAATCAAGAGAACGCCATCAGAGTGAGCACAACCGCATACTAAAGGAGGGAATTCACCGCAAAGCGCACACCCGTAGAGAGGAATCAGTCAAGGAAGCGGCCCACGAAATGCTCCGAACTCAAAAGGAGGAGATAACAGGGAAAAAGAAAAGGTATTTCCACCACAAAAGAGCGCACGCAGAAAAAATGGAAGTCATTGCAGATCCGTTCACAGAACACATCAACGAAAAGTCTGTTACTCGCGCCCGGAGGCACGCCGCTCACCGACAAGAGACCGCCATGGGCGCGTAGGCGCTAAGCGAATGTGCCTGCCTTGCAATCGATGGCCTGCATTCGCCAGTTGGCAAAAGCTGAAACATTTCTCTGTGTGTCCTTGCAGCGTGAGTACTGTGGTTGCATTACAGTAAGGCTGTAACTTGACCT